CAGCCATAACGACTTCTTAAATCCTTGCGGAAATTGCCAAACTGTTCTATTAGATTTACAGAATTTAGTAAATCTGTTGCAAATAAATTTCTAGATTTAACCCATTCAGGATTTAATAAATCCCGATTTAAGGGATTTACTAAAACCAAATACCTTAAATCTCATATGTTGTCAGACTGCACCTAAAAGTGATGGATGTGCATTCAGTGAAATAAAGTTTTTCAAAGTTAGAATTAGAAGATTTTGGACCAAGGGAGTGCATATAACTCTTGCTATAGAAATTTTTTTTTTCTAGCAGAGCTCAATGGCTGAATTGGCAAAGCTTTGTCCTTCCATCAAAATAATTTTCTTAAGAATATTCTAATGAAAATTATTGCCATTTCTATAACATTCAGTCCCAATAAAGATGTATAAGTGGAAGAAACATACAAACTTTGACGAAAACTTCAGTAAACTGAGCAGGGATAAATACAGAGATAATTGTCATAGAACACAAAAAGATAATTCAAACCGCCGCAAATCTGATTAGTCAAATTCATAATAACAGCTGCCACATGCGTGCATAAACATAAATTCAAAAAATTACAAATAACTTCAAAAATCACGATATCAACTTACTTTGATTTTAAAATCTCTAAAAATCACGCAATGAAAAATCAGCATGCTTGGCTTACAAATTGCAGTGACAAGTTCACATAATATAGAAATCATGTAAGTATTAAACCATTTCATATGTAGTAAAACCTCCTAATTTACATATCTCACACACACAAAAGTTTAACATTAGAGATTCGGAATTCCCGTTAATGCGGGCTATTTAACTGTGGGGGGTCACCGCCGTTGACTGGGAGAGATTGGGGGAAGAGGAATGAGCAGTTGCGGCAAAAGAAGACTGGTTGTTTGTCCGACCATCGCCACAAGGGAACAAAGAAGAGCTTAAGTACTTTCTCGCGATCCACCAGATCGGTTATTCCGCCGCATCGAACGCATCGCCCCGCCGCTTCCTGCAACACCCTCCCTGCCTGCTGCTCCAACCCTCCCACGAAGAAGAAGAACATCCTCTCCTTCTCTCTTCTTC